CTCGAAGCGGGTGTTATTAAAATGGTAAACAACTTTTTTGTGCCTTTGCTTAGGATCTTTGCATTTGTTTCTTGATATTTTACTGAATATATCTATAACTCTTTACAGTTATTTTTTTTGATCATAACGAAAAACGTAAATATTTAATTTACCTAAAAATTAGTGAGGGCTCATTTTGCAAATTTTCTTTCGTCATTCCAATTTCAACATAAAACCAGCATGATACGAAGAGTAGGATAGATAGATTTTGCTGTAAACACCAAAAATAATGTCAAAGTTAAAAAAATGAAAAAATCGATAAAAATATCAATAAAGAAAAATTGATAGTACGGGCATACATTAAAAAATGGCTTTTTTCAAATACAAAAATATATTACAATTTCAGAAAAAAAGATGCACTTTTCGAGAAAATCACGATTGAAAAAAATCGCTTTTTTTGTTTTTCTTTAATAAAGTAGCGTTTTGGCAAATTATGCAAATTTAATAATTATGGTGACGGTTTCATAAATTAGACCAAAAACCTCATAGTTTGACACCCGAATGGAAAATTACAGTAGTTTAATTTCGGAATCGATTTTGCGTTTTTGAAAAATTACGTTTGCTTCCAATCTTCGAAAAAAAAAATTTTCGGTCAAAATCCCGACACATGACTCCTTAAATACACCCAAAAACACATTTTCATTATAAAAAAGGCAAAATTAAAACTCAAAAGTGTCAGCCTTTATGAATTCAGATGGAATGGGCCATTTGCATTTTTGTTGTTGATTTTAAACTTTTGACTGGTAGTATATATTACATTATTTTTATAATAAACAATTTTTTTTTTGCAACAAAAAACATTTTTTCAAGATCCGGTTTTTGAAACAAGGAGGTTGTAAAATCTGAACATATTGCCATAATTCGACAAAAATCGATATGGAATGAGTGAGTCCCTTTTAAATTAAACCAAATTCTCTTTATAAATTATGCAACGATACGCCGTTAATGTTTGCAGCTTCATTAGGCACCAAATGTATTATACAATATATTAAATAGAAATAATATCAATTTTATAAATATAGCAAAAAATACATACAATACAACATTTTTGTCAAAATTCACATCCTTTCATCAGTGAAAGCAGTTACCTTGTTAACATTTTTTTTTAATTAATATAAAAAATTATACTGTATAATCAATTGTCACCATGAGCATAGTTCGAAGGTGTACTCAATCGTACGCTAAAAAATAAGCCTCATTATAGTAGAGAGGAAACTATCAGTTCATATAGCAACGACATTGAACGGGATAAAAGTAGGAGTTAGGATACTATCAAGACAGAAAGTTATACTAATTTACTAGAGTGATCTTATAATGCCAAAATACGATTATATTGAAAACTCAAAAGTTTTATATCTTCTTGTCTATTGATCGTATGTCTTGTTAATTTTATATGTAGCATTTCGGAAACCCGTCTTTTATTAAGATATTGTCTATTAATAATCTTAGTAGTTACAAAATCAAAACTATGACTTGGATTCTCAAAAATATGTTTAAGCACCGACATTAACATATTTTCATTTAAATTTTTACTGCCTGTAATTTTTTCAATTGTTTATTTTATGTTCGTTCATTCTAGCTATCAACAATCGTTTAATTTCTCCAATGTAAATAGAGTTGCAGTCGTTATAATTAAATGTGTATACTACTCCAATCTTCTGCAATTTACAGTTTTGATCTTTACCCAATATAACCACATTATGTAATTTATCATTTATTAACGAAACACAAAAAATATTATATTTATTTAATACTCATTTACAATAATAATAAAATTCTTCAATAAACGGAATAAAAATAGTTGCAATAACACTGTTGGATTTTAAATTATGTAATTTTTCTTAACTTTGATTTTTAAGTCTGTGAAATCTATCTCTTTTTGCAATTCATTTTTCAAGGAATTTGGTGGATAATTATTCTTTGTTAGAATATTAATTATTTTACTAAAATTTGTTGTGTAAAACACTTCATGTAAGAGTGGAGTAGCTTTATAAATTAGTTATAATATTTCGTTTTTTTTTGTATTATATGGTTTGAATTTATATTCATATCAACAATGTAAGAGCGAAGGAAACCAAATCGAAAAAGAATTATTGATATTTGTTATTAATAAAGCGAGTGCGTAACAGGGAATCCATATCCTGTGTAAAGGAAAAGTTGAAAATATATATTTATACACCATACAAATATTGTTGACAAGACCGACAACTATAGTTGATTATGATTATTTAAATAACAATTAATGTTAAATTATTGATTTGGAAAAATAACATTGCAATGTCTTTTTATTACTGTCCTTAAAACTTATATTGCGCGTCCGGAAAGTATGTCTCTGAAGGATTGTTTGAAAGTTTGTCTTATTTATGCTCCATCAGTGCTAATCAGCGACGGAGGCTTGCAATGTATTTGAGAACAAAGCACATGAAACTTTTTTCAGTAGTACTTGTTTCAATCAGTCAATCAGCAAGGACTGGGAATCAAACCCTGGCCAACCGGGTGCGAGTCCGTCGCCCTACCGACCGAGCCATTGCAGGCCTCTTCGTCTTACCTTAATGTGTAATTTATTCACGTATATTGTTAATAGTTAAAATACTATTTTTGATTCCAGTACAACCCTCGAAAATCAGAAAATACAACTAATTACGAGTGATTTCAAAAAAATTGAGTGAAAATTGCGGCTTATAAAAAATCAAAAATATCCTACACTACGCCATCAATTAAAATCGTTCGAGGAACGAGTCGGGCGGTGGTGAATGAAATTCAAGCAAAAACATTTTGATGTTAAACTATGCGCACTTCTTTAACTCTATAGGTAATAAATATATTAACTTTGAACAAAATCGATAAATTCGGTGTTATCTTAAAATCTTTGTCTATGATCTAAAACTTTTTATATGATATCTCTATATTGGTAAATTTATTATATTAATAAAAATAATGTAACTCAATTTCAGCTAATATGATGCAATATTTTAATGAAAATAAATTTCACAATTTTAGTGTAAGACACCAAGGCTAATGCATACTTAGTTTACCTCTGCAGCGTTCCACATAGACATTGTTCTTGAAGTTACAATAACAATAACGTATCAACAGTCATCAAAACTGTCATTTTTCAACTGTTCAGTAATAACATTCTTAAGATTTTTGTATATTTATTAGCTTAATTTCAAAATTTTTTTCAAATAAATTACTATACGAAACAAGTTGAAATTTCTTCTGAGTACTTCAAATAATATAATGTATCAATTAATAATTTTTATCATTATTCATGATGTTTAAACAAAGTTAAACTGTATAAAAAACATATTTAATAGATTTATATAAGATACCTAGACCACATTAAACCTTACATTATTAATAAAGCTATTTATTGCTAAATATACCAACTGTTGTGTTAAATTATATTAAATATATATTATACAATAAATTATATTATATAAGTTAAATTATATTATACCAAATAACCACATGTACATATATATGTTGTAATACTACAGTATTTCATATACTATATTTCAGTAAATCAGATTAAAAATAAATTTACTTGTCTAGATAGGCTATCACTTTTTTATGTATAAAAAATATAAGACCTATAAGATATATTTTGTTGTACTTTTGACAATAAACAATAAATAAATATAGGAACAAGAACTAAAACAATCGATAGTATCTATCTACTTAAAAAAATTATTAATATTGAAAGTATAGAAACTAAAATGATCGTTCAAAAATCAAGGGAACAAAGAATATTGACTATTTATAGCTAATAATCTATACAATATTATTATTTTTGTTATATCTTGAATCCTGAATGACATGAAACTAAAGCAGAATATTTGCCAGAGTTTATAGTAACACCAACATAATTATTTATAAAATATCTTTAAAATTTGACTAAAAAATTACTTTTGTGCTTAAGAAAAAATTATTATTGATGTCTTATATTATTGTACTTAAGTGTACCTGCAATTATATATGTTAAATGTAAGTAATGACATACAAACTCCACGGAGTAAGAGAAAAGAGACCCAACTACATATACGATATAAAATATCTTTAAAATTTGACTACAAAATTACTTTTGTGCTTAAGAAAAAATTATTATTGATGTCTTATATTATTGTACTTAAGTGTACCTGCAATTATATATGTTAAATGTAAGTAATGAAATACAAAATTAAACTTTGTATTTAGGTTTTGTTTAAAAGTTCCTAATAATACAATTTTAGAGAAACTATCAAAGCAAAATATTATTTACTACATGAATGTTTATATCTTTCTAAATAGAAATAATTCATATAACTTCGTATAGAATTTCTATATTATATTTAGGTAAAAATATTAAAAGAAAAATGAAGTTTTTTCATCTTCGATTCATGATAATAGATTTTAACTCTAGTAAAATATATTTAATATTATGGACACTTTAGAAAATTTGTTTATACTTCATAATCATGTTTGAATCAAAGTACTTTCATAATTTTAAGATCATCAAAAAATTTCCAAAAATTCTCTGTCACAAAAAATCATACATACTAAAATTGGTACATTTTTGCGATAATTTATGAACATCAATTTATAGTCATTTATTATCAGTCTGAATTCAGTATTCAACTACTCAAAATCATTGCATTTTTCAACAAAAAAACAGAACAATTATTTTATATAAAACAAAACATAACAGTTATTTGAAGCAAAAATGCCTCACAAACTTGTAACAACCCTTGAAGAAGTTGTTACAAGTATACATTTTATATTTCTCAGGAACCCAAAGTTAAACCTAAAAATTAACTTATAGTAAAGTGAGAGTTAAGCATTAAAACAGTTTATAGAAATACTATAAAAAAAATAAAATTTCATGTAATAAAACTTCTTGTTTCAAATTATTTGAATAAAAAATTATTGACAACTAAAAAATAAATTAAGATTTTTTAAATTAATTAAATAATATTACTCACATAATGGTTTGCAAAATAAAAATATAAGCGTGTAAGAAAAAGATCTCATAAATGAGAAAAAATATATGTGATACCTATACATAATATATACATAGTTAGAATTTAATGCATATACTTACATGTAAATGCCGGAAGAAAAAAAATAAAACTCTAGAATTGAATTAAATTATCTTTCAAATTTTATGGAAATTTAAAAAAATTGTTAGATTTTAAATAGTAATATTATAATTACTTATTTATTTATTTATATACAAAAAATCTATATTTATGTTAGCATGGAGACTATATAGGGTGTTCATAGAACGATTCTGACACTTAAAAATGATCGAAACGACCCTGGCAGAAAAATGATTGATTTAAAAAAAAAAATAGAACATTAGCTTCGTCTTAATTTGTACCACTCGAAAATTGCTTTTTTGGAATTTATACCCCCCCAAAATGTTAAAAAACAGCGAAAAAAACGATATTTCGGAAAACTCATACTCCTGGCAGAATAATGATAGATATCTTAAAAGAAAAAAATACCACTAGTTTCATTTTAATTTATACCATCAGAAAAATGCTTTTGTGGAATTTGTACCCTCTCTAAAAATAGAGAAAAAAAAGATTTTCGTAGGGTAGATTAGCAATTCAAATTAACGTATTACTGCGCATGAGCAGCAGAAAATCTATCTTCCAGTAGAAAAATATGCGATTTAAAAAAATATATATATGAATGCCTTCTTCTTAATTTGTACCGTCTAAAATATACATGTAAGAGTTGGTTATGCTGGAGCTCTTGGCGGGAACGTCGTTTGAATCCTGTCTGCTGCCAGCTCCTCGTGCTGGACCCAAGGTCCTCTATGCGCCTTGCGTCCAATGATTCTCGCCGTCGAGCGAAGATTGATGAAAGGTCGAGAAGTAGGGAAAGAATGCGCCGTATCTTGTGAAATCACTTTATTTACACCTTAGCTTACACTACTTAAGACACTAGATTTACAGCACTTGACGAGCGCGACATTTGTTGCGAACGGCCACAGCTGTGGGCACAGAAGAGCGCGGAGGCAAGGCAATAGCTCGAGGCACAATGCCTTGCCGGTGAGCGCACTGAAGGAGAAGACGAAGAACAGCTGTTCACGTCTAGGGCGCTGAGCGGTAACTGACTGTGATGCTCCCAGTCCGCTCGCGGAACGAGCGCTTGCTTGCGCGGATGGCGGCGAGACTGGGGAGTGCTGCCTTCTGGCGGCACAAGGCGTCCGGTCGGTGAGGACGCTACATACATAAAACTAATTTGTATCCTTGTAGAATTTGAATAATACAATGTTGTTTGTGCGATTGTAATACTTATAAATTTTACAGGAAAATCTTTTATTTCTTAAGAAAAAAATATATTTCTAGCTTTACCTTAAATTTTACCAACTGAAAATAGTTTTATTGTAATTTTTACACTCTAAAATTTAATTAGACATGTTAATATACAAAGTCCTAAGTTAATGTGTGTTCTTAAACTCCTACATCCAAAAACAGCTGATTACTTGGATGATAAAGTAGGAAGCTCTGCTAGGAAAAATATTGATTTCTTAAAACAAAATACACCACCAGCCTTGCCTTAATCAGTATTTGGAATTTGAACTCCTCGAAAATATTGAGAAAAAAATTAATTCGTAATCTAATTCGATGATTCTAATTTCGTGTCCTCCGCGTTGCGGAAAATCTCTTTTCTCGGCGGAAAAATCGTGAAATTTTAATTTATAAAATTATGAATGTCTTCTTCTTAATTTGTACCATCTACGAAATCCAAAATATATAATTTATACCCCTGTAAAATTTGAATTATATAGCGTTTTTCATGCTAAATGCTAAAACGCATGCGCAAAAAGCATGCGCGTTAACCAATCTTTTTAGGAAGAACATACAATAAAATTAGATTGTTGTTTTTATCGTACATATTATTAATTTTAAAATAGTAAGAGGAGTTCAATTAAAATGAGCAAGGGATCAGTTTTTTTGTCTTATTTCTTTGCAAAAATATTAAATATTGCTATATATATCGCAGTTTCAAAAAACCAAAAAATATACATAGTTTTTAATTTTTTTAGGAGAACTAAAAGGGTTCACTTAAAATAATGGTCATTTTAGAAGGGTTCAATTACAAATATTTCGAATGGTATTTTTTTTTCACTGTCCACTACACTTTGTTGGCTGGGGTAAGAAGGGTCATATTATTTCTTGCACGATCAGAAATGACAGCGATTAAACTCCACGGAGTAAGAGAAAAGAGACCCAACTACATATACGAGAACAAAGATCACCAGACTCACTCGTCGGAATAGCTGACACTAGCTAGCTTCAGACCCCTTTAGCGAGTACCATTCGTACTGCGTAGCAGGTTGATTTTATCTACCGTTCTCTGTCAACTGACATGTAACAACGTATATGAAATTATGCTTCTAAATGTGCTTAATTATGATTACGATATGATTTGAGTTGAAATAAATAATGAGCCAGCTTATCAAGAGACTCAAATCCGAAACATTATAATCATAAACTTAATCGCAAGCCCCTTCCGGCAACTTAAATATAACTTTCGACATCTATACAGGATAGGCGGCAAGATACGACATACGACAGGATAGGCGGATTAATGAATTACAAACAGATCGCGTGAGAATAGTAAACGAGGTATTTATTCGCAATAACACGGGTGTTATAATAAACAAGAAAAGAAATATGTATACATATGTGAAGCTGAGAGAGAGAGAGAGAGAGAGAGAGAGAGAGGAAGAAGTTAAATTAAGAGAGAGATAAGGTGCGCGACGGTACTTACAGATTGCTACCCCGTGAAAGTCGGTTCGCAGCAGGCGTTCAATTAACAAAGGAAAAGGCCTCGAAGAGGCAGGCGCCGGTGGCAGAAGGCCGTCACACACACCAAAAACACTCTCGCTCTCTTCCACTATCCGTCGACTCTCCGAGCCCTTCACTCCTGGATCTCGTTGTCAATCTCATCGCCGAAAGCCTGAGTGTCAAAAACAAAGAGATCGAATCGCTAGCCGGACACGTGCGTTCACGTCGAAACCTTCAAGCCGAATCTCTCGCACCGAGAAACCGAGTGCCCTCCTCGCAGTCCGCGATAATCGAACCCGTTTTCCTCTCTCTCTCTCTCTCTCCCTCTCTCACCTACCTTACTTTAACCGGCTGTAACTTACAAGGGGAGCCACCCCAACCCGACCTCACCGATTTAAATAATTTTGAGATATGTTGTAGTACGTGAAAAAAAATTAGATAAGTGTTTTTTTTATCGGCCCATAAGGGCTTTTAAGGGGTGAAATCCACCCTGAAAATCAACACCTAAAATCAGTTTTTTTAATATTTCTCAGCATCAAATGAATATTTTTCAGTAAACTCAACGTTAACAAATTTCTTCTAAAAGGGCACTTTTAAGGACATAATATTTATACCGAAGGATTGCAACTCCCTTTTTAATAGGGGTAAATACACTATTTTTGTACTGTTTTACGACATGTAATATAGTAAATCAGCTTGAGTGATTTAAAAATCGCACTGATAATGAGAAAATACCAAAATTAAATCGACGTGTTTCCGGGTTTAAAAAAAAATATGATTATAAACAAAGAGCCATAGAATTTTAGAGGAGCGGAAAAAACAAAAACTTAAAACTGGATACTGTACAACATAGATTCAAAAAAGTTTCATCTATAAGTCAACTTAAACGTTGGGCGAAAATAATTAATAAAAATGGAACTAACCGAGAAAAAATTGGGCAAATTTGCCAATACACGTTTGATAATTTAAAAGCTTCTATTGCAGCTGGTACGATAGTGCATGATCGAGATATACGGAAATGGGCATTGCAAGCTCAAAAAATTGTTGGCCATGAAGATATGAGATTTAAGGCTTCTCAAAATTGGTTACTAAAATGGAAAAAAGCTCATAGAATAGTATCTAAAAAAATAAATAAATTTATCACCAAAAAACATTAGAAAGTAAAGAAGAACTACAAACTAATGCTGATGCTTTTGTAGCTGATGTTAAATCATGTATACCAGAAATCGGCATTGCAAACTTTTATAATTCAGATCAGAGTGGTTTCCAATTAGAAATGCACTCGGGAAGAACATTAACAGTTGAAGGAGAAAAGCAGGTGCAATGTCTGGTAGAGTGGGTTTCATCGACAACGCACAGTTATACAATTCAGCCAACTATATCAGCAACCGGGAAACTTTTATCACCACTTTTTATAGTATTAAAAGAAAAAAGTGGTCATTTCGGTCCTATAGTGGAATCTTCATTATTTAGACCAGAAAATGTGCTAGTGGAACCATCGAAATCTGAAAAATTAACGACAAGTTAGAATATTTTTGTTTATTATAATGCAATGACATAAAAAAAATTTTTACATTTTTTTATTTTAGATCATTTTAAAATTTGGTTGAAAGAAGATTTTTACCCAAATGTTGGACCTCAATCTGTACTTTTACTCGACTCTTGGAGTGGACATTGCGATAAAGCTGTAAGGGAACCCTATAAAAAAAATCTAGTTGGAATTCCACAATGGATTTCCAGCTGGAAATGCGGCTGGATTCCCATGTAGATTTTCATGGATTCTATATGGATACTTGTAGATTTCCAGGATAGATTTCCTGATAGATATTATGGATAATCCAGGTAGATTTTCTAAAATTCCAGGTAGATTTTTTATGATATTCCAGGTGGATTTTTAAAGAAATCCAGATGCATATTTTCAAAATTCCATGTGGATTTCTAAAGAAATCCAGATGTACGTTTTTGAAATTCCAGATGGATTTTTTAAGAAATTCCAGGTGGATTTTTTAAGAAATCCCAGATGGATTTTTTACGTAATTCAGATGCAAATTTCTAAAATTCCAGATGGATATTCGTAAAATTCCAGGTGGATTCCTTAAGAAATCCAGATGCATATTCGTAAAATTCCAGGTTGATTTCTTAAGAAATCCAGATGCATATTCGTAGAATTCTAGGTGGATTACTTAAGAAATCCAGATGTATATTCGTAAAATTCCAGGTGGATTTCTTAAGAAATCCAGATGCATATTCGTAG